TGGATGTGACTAAGTGTGATAAGTGGTGCAGGAAGTCTGTAGCTGGAAAGTCAGAGGTGGTGGAGATGCACCCTGAGCTGGTCCAGGAAAGATGAGCAGGGTTCTCAGGAATACAGGAGACAAGGACTTTACAAAGTGAGTTATGCCCTTGGTTGTGTTTAGAATTCTTCAATGTGCTTACCTTGCAGCAGAGCAGGGTGCCAAAAGTGGTCCTAAACCACTAGGATTAGGGCTAAGTGATCATGGACTTCAACCTCTGGAAAAGTGTGTGCTCCATTTCTTTGAACTCTACTAAGCCATGACGGCCTTCATAGTAATGATCAATTAAAATAATTACTAAGTAATAAAAGTACCTCACTCTCTAATCTATCTGAGTATTCAAGAATTTGCCATCATTATCCTATGGCCACAGATGGATGATTCCAAAGAGCTCCAATCATGTTGTACTTTCTTAAATGAATTCACCCATGTTTTCAATGAAGTAGATGGCAAAGGGAAGCTCTGTGGACAGAATACTGTCACTAAGGCAAACACAGTTATGTCTCAGGGATTGCTCTGGTCCAAGGAGATTGTCAGAACTTTCCAATAACTTGGTAGTTAGCATATTTCTCACTCTATCAAAATCATTGGATGCCTAAGATCTTTTTGGGGACAAAGTCTTATTAATTTCCGTGTCTCCCATGTCTAGCCCCAGTGTTTGTAAATAGAGGGGACTCAAATGTTTGCAGAGTTACAAATGAATGAATGGATAGTTAAAGGGAGTAATGATACTTTACTTATTTATGTTTCTAATACCTGGGCAGAGTTTAGACTAACTAAAATGATAAATGTATGAGTAAGGGATACCCTATGTAGGATTGGGAGATTGAGTTAAAAATAAAGGAGTCAATGAAGGTTATTCTTTATTTTATTTATTTAGTTAGTTTTGGCCACCAATACCCTTGGGTATTGCTTTCCTTCCTCTCTGTTCTTTGTTTTATCATTTTAAAACTGATTTTTCCCTTCCATTGTACTGTTGAACAAGTGAGGCCTAAAACACAAGTTTCAGAATTCAATGGTATAGAATCCTTTAAATACTTCCAAAAGAAACTGAATTGGTAATTGTGGGAGCAGAAGAAAGAATTTCTGTTGTTCTGGAGTGGGATGTTTTATGAATTGGCGGCCTTCTGTCCCTGTGACAAAATACCTGAGATAATCAACTTGTAAGGAAGAAGGTTTATTTAGGCTCACAGTTTCAGAGGTTGAAGTCCATGATCACTTAGCCCAATTCCTTCTGGGCTCCCTCATGGTAAGGTAGTACATCCTGGTGGGGAATGTGCTGGGGAGCAAAGCTGCTTACCTGGTGGTGGCCAGGAAGTACAAGCTGGAGAGCTTCAAAGAGCATGTCCCCAGTAACCTGTCTTCCTGCCCTTCGGCCTTATTTCTTGAAGCTCCTACCACCTTGCAGTAGCTCCAGCTGAGGCCAAGCCTATACATATGGGTCTGTGGGGACATATCAGATCCCAGTTACAGCAGGAGGGGATTCGTGGAAGGGAAGCATTTCTTGTCACCAGTGAAGGTCAAAGGATACCCATCATGTCATTGATTGTTTTTGTTGTTTTCTATCTGAAGGCAAAGAAGCAAATCAAAATAGAGGAAAAAAGTGAGATGAGTAAATTTAGTCAAATTTTCAATTGTCTTTTTCGTTATTTCCATGTCTTTCAAACCTTTTGGTTTATTTTTATACTTTTCTCATTTTGCATCCTTATTACTTTGCAGGATGGAAAAACAAAACACAAGTAACAAACTGTTTAACTAAACAATTCTCAAACGTTCCTAGCCACTCGATACAGGGCCCTGAGATGGGACAACTCCATACTTATCAGTATAAATGTTCCCCTGGTACACTTCTATGTCTCTGTGACAGATTTAGCTTTACTTCCAAGTTGATTTCTTCGGCTGATAAAACTCAGAGACATTGGGGATTTATTTTATTAATAAACATCACCCTGTGATTTCATTAAGCATGGTTGAAGGCAATATTAAATGGAATAAAGTTTAACTTGAATCCAAGACCATTTCAATCCTAAACCAACTTCATTCAGCTCTAAGATCATGCGCTATTTTGTCAAATATCTCTGTTATCAACCAGTTATGGGTATTATTTGCCCAAATCATTCCTATGTGCACTCATTGATAAAGGGTGCATCTGACGACAGTTAAATCAAAGGCTATCTTACAGATGCATGAGAAACTGAAGGAAAAGTGGGAGGGCTAGGAAGTCACTCTGCCCCTCTGTTCTCACAGCTCATCTCCACACTGAATGCAGTTGGACCCAGGGGTCAGGACAGCTTCCATGCTAGAGAGGACTGTTCTGCACACTCTCCAAAATCACCTCTGTCGGGGAAGAGTTATCGTGGCTTTCAGTGGGATCTCTAATGCAACAAAGCTTCTGGAATCTCTAGGGCCAGCTTTCCCAGTGAGTCCAGAGCTGTGTCATATCCCAGCAGAATTCAGTTAAATCTTCACGCCACCACCCTTTGTAACTCACATCTCCAAAAGCCTCCAACTCTAATGGTTCTTTAAAAACCTGGATCATATTAAATTTGATACCTTCAATAAGATGGAGACATATTCCTTGATTGTCCCTGGATTTTTTACTGGTGCTGTTTACATCGTTTAGGGTGTTTTGTATTTTAACAGTAAAGCTGGAAATTTTTCATTTGTAGTCTAATTTGACCTGATTCAGCAATCTTTCTAATTTAAGTTCTTCTGCCCTGAGGTGTTTGGCACCCTTAACCCACTGACTTGTGGTCTCATCATGACTGTACTTCTATATTTATTATGCAAATTGTTGTGTGAAATGAAAACCAGTTTCTGCTGGTAGAACTGAAATAGGAGGTGTCCCGACACAGGACTACAGCGGGGTCCGGGGTGAATGTCATCTAGTGTTCAGAAGTTGTCATATCCACTCCGAGCCAAACTTCACCGTCACCATTCCCTCACGGAACCCAGAGGCTGTGTCAGGCGTTCCCTGCTCTCCCTACTGACCTGCTAGGACATTTTCTTCCACGGATAGAGTCATCATTCCTTCACCCAGAAAGAGAACAGAGTGCTGTGGGATGGTGATTGGCCACGGCGAGGGCAAAGATTGGCCCATATTTGGCAGGTTCAATGCCTTCCTCCTCCTCAGTTAGTGGGCCGCTAGTGTGACTTAAGATATTGAGGTTTCTTTAGCACATTTCAGAACTATCTGGCTTTCCTATTGGAATGAGGCTATCCATTCACAACAACAGAATATAGAAAAATGCATAACTTTCAATAATGTAGTTTATTAATTCCTTTAAAAAACAGAATTTTAAAGATTTTTACCCTTAAATTTATTTTTTCATAACTTTTTCTGGGATTCCCCCCCCCCCATTCTGTTTAGTAGAATAAGCACCAGGGTGAAGATTTCCTATAAAATGAGAGGTTTTCCTTTTCATGATGTTGTGATCCCCCCCCCCAACACCAAAAAACAACCAAAAAAAAAAAGTTGTTTTGAAGAGAACCAGACCTAATTAAGTCCAGATTCTGTAACTTACTGGCAATGTCATCTTGGGAAGCTTTTTCATCTCTTCAAGTTCTGAGTTTATTCAATACTAAGTGAAAACAAAGCCCCACCCCAGAGCATTGCCGTGGTCTTGGAACGGTACCTGGCATTCAGCAAGTTTGCCCCATCATGGATCTTGGGTGCTCATCTATGGGGAAAGCATTTGGCATTGAAGCATGTCAGTGAGTTTAATCTAGAAAAAAGTTCATCATTGCAATTTAAGACAAAATTAGAAAATGTTTGCCCCCACCTGTTGCAAAGCAGTTTTTGTAAGGGGTCCAGGAGTGATCTGTTAGACGACTTGAGCAAAAGATCTCCTTTAAATTAAATGTAATCTTCAACACCATGTTCTTTCTTCATGTGCTTATTAAGCACCTCTAGGCTCTCTTCTTTGGAATTAAGAAATTCTTCTTTTCCACTGTTTTTAGATTCTCCAATGAGCTACATGTGCCCTGAAAATGTGGCCTGGTTTTCCTTTTTCTCCTCCCTCTTCACCATCCCACTGAAAGCCACGATAACTCTTCCCCGACAGAGGTGATTTCTGGAGAGTGTGCAGAACAGTCCTCTCCAGCATGGAAGCTGTCCTGACCCCTGGGTCCGACTGCATCCAGTGTGGAGATGAGCTGTGAGAACAGAGGGACAGAGTGACTTCCTAGCCCTCCCGTTGTTCTTTTAGTTTCTCATGCACCTTAAGATAGCCTTTGATTTAACTGTAGTCAGACCCACCCTTTATCGATGAGTGCACATAGGAATGATTTAGGCAAATAATACCCATAACTGGTTGATAACAGAGATATTTGACAAAATAGCACAGGATTCAAGGTCAATCCAAAGTCATTCTTTGGCAGATTCTCTGTCAAGATATGTGTGTGTGTGTGTGTGTGTGTGTGTGTGTGTTTCCTGTCAAGTTCCTACAAAAAACACTTGCTAGGATGAGTCAAGAACCAATGGCCTGGCTTGGTCTGGCCCTCTGGCACCAGGCTGGGGCCGCGGCTGCACAGTAATGCTTTCTGCTCAGGACATTGCACAATGTAACCACTTGCCAGGAACCAGCACCAGCCTTGTCTGATCCAGCACCAACCTTGGTTCCTAGATTCTCTGCAGCACTAAGCACAGAGTCAGGGCAGGCCTGGTGCTCTTCATAGGGCATTCTGGGACCACTCTTGTCCTCTGGGGGATCTCTGGGTTAACACGATTGACCCCATATTTCTGCAGTGGACCCAACACTCTAGGCCATGGACTAGAGTGGAGGAACCGGGATCAGACTGGCTTCTGTGGAAGCACAAAGGCCAAAATGGGGTTTAAGAGCATGAAGAGAGCTTGGAGGCCTGGTGTTCAGGCTGCTCCTCCAGGTGGTCCTTTCTACATCTTCTGTGACAGACAGACCTCAGTGGTCAGCTACTGACACTCTTCCTCTAATTTCTTCCAGGAATTTCTATTACATCACAATGTTGCGGGATCCCGTGTCGCGTTACCTGAGTGAATGGAAACACGTCCAGAGGGGGGCCACGTGGAAAACCTCTCTCCATATGTGTGATGGAAGGAGCCCCACCCCCGACGAGCTGCCCACCTGCTACCCTGGGGACGACTGGTCTGGGGTCAGCCTGCGGGAGTTTATGGACTGCAGCTACAACCTGGCCAACAACCGCCAGGTGCGCATGCTGGCCGACCTCAGCCTGGTGGGCTGCTACAACTTGACTTCCATGAACGAGAGCGAGAGGAACGCCATCCTGTTGCAGAGCGCCAAGAGCAACCTGAAGAACATGGCCTTCTTCGGGCTCACCGAGTTCCAGCGGAAGACTCAGTTTCTCTTTGAGAGGACATTCAACCTCAAGTTCATCTCCCCCTTCACGCAGTTCAACATCACGCGGGCTTCCAACGTGGAGATCAACGAGGGCGCCCGGCAGCGCATTGAGGAGCTCAACTTCTTGGACATGCAACTCTACGAGTACGCGAGAGACCTCTTCCAGCAGCGCTACCACCACACCAAGCAGCTAGAGCACCAGCGGGACCGCCAAAAGCGGCGGGAGGAGAGGAGGCTGCAGCGCGAGCATCGGGCCCACCGGTGGCCAAAAGAGGACGGAGCCGCAGAGGGGACTGTCACTGAGGACTACAACAGCCAGGTGGTGAGATGGTGACCCCCTGCCCACTCCTCTTTCGGGAGGGGGGTCTTGAGCAGGTGCACTGACCATCTGTTGGAGACATTGGGCCATCCAGAGGACCGCTGGCTCTGGGTGGCTGCATTGGGACATCTGCTTCCTCTTGGTCTTCATTTTTATCCAGCTGGAGGTTATCTGCCTTGTTCATTTTTTTTCTTGACATTTTCAACCAGTGACTTGAAGTAGGGTAGGGATGCATCCTACATAGAAAACATTTGAAGGTCAAGGAGGAGCAGCGGCCGAAGGAAAGGGTCTGTGATCTGTGCAGCCTTGCAGGTGATCCTTTGGGGAGCTGGACCCACAGAGATGCACATGAAAAGCCAAGTTATGGCTTGGATGTTCTGCTGAACCTGGTCTGTTTCATACTGTCTCTGTCATGGAAATATTAGTCTTTTAAAGAGAGAGAAAGGGAAGGAGGCTTCTGCCCTTAGATGAGGTTGCACGCCGACCCTCACCTGACTGCTGGTTCTCGTCTTTGAACTCTGTTTGAATGCAGCTTCCATCCTAAGTAACGTGTTTTGTTGCTGCAGTTGTTTTTCAACAAAATCACTGACCATCTCTAGAGACCCGCATCCCACCAACCCTGGCATCCGGGCTCTATGCCATGCTTCCTCCTCATCCTTAGGAGACAGGGAGTGGACACAGGACAGGGGTGGCTGTGGCTGAGAAATGAACATTGGTGGGGTTTTAGGGGAACTACTTATTTACTGAGGACATCACACTGTACCAATTGTAATCTTCAATGTGAGGAATGAATGATCAATTAAGGGAGAAAAAAATCAGGAGAAATAACATGTTTAATATTTCCAAACCAGCTACAGAATCTTAGTTTTTAAAAGAATATTTCAGAGTTTAATCTCCTTGGGGACAATCCTCTTCTTTGCCAAGGTACTACCAGGTTTGAAATTCTACTGTTCTAGAAGAAAAGAGATTTAAAAAGAACTTGGCCTAAAGAATAGGAGCTTAGCTGGTATGTATACAAAATATGTTTGAGGTCACTACATGAATAATAACTCTGATTTGGGCCAGGAGACATGAACATCACTCACCAGATGGTCATTCCAGACATAAATACAGACACTTCATTCCAACATCCCCAATCTTTGTAGCCTAAAGTTCCTTCCCATGTTGTGTGCACCTGTTCTTAGATTGCGCTACACCCAGCAAATCAGGTCGGAGGGTATAAACTTAACCAAAACCCACTGTAATGCCAAGAGCTTATTTTCACCTTTTCCCAGTCACAAGTACAGTAACCAAAAGTGCACTGACCAATGGGGGAAGTAGGAAGGAAGGAAGAGAAAACATTTTTCTCTCCTCCAACTGGAGGCTCAGAGCGGGTAGAAAGTTTCACACACATTGATGTGATCAGTCCTTCCAAGGAGTCAAAAGACAAGTGAACCTCCTAAGTCAGATGGAGAAGCCTGTTTCATCAATATCCAACGTGTTTGATGTTTAAGCCTGCTTTCCATGGGCCACCCCACAGAATGCTCTCTGGGGTGGAGAGTCCATCAATCCACCAGCATTCATGGAGAGATGCTGCACAGAGGACAACCCCACGTCCCCATCAAATACAGATCTGGAGAAGTGGCTCCCATGCTTCTCTCACTGCCCTTGACTTAGCTGAGGACAGGCTCCCTTGTGCTATGAACCAAGGGAGACCCTTTCTATACTTTAAGGATTCTCTCCATTAACAAGGTAGATAGTCTTGGTTCCAGTTTCCCAGATGAGAAAGATGAAGCCCAGAGACCATAGGTGGCTTCCCCATGGATTGTAAGGTAGACCTAGCTGACCGCAAAGTGCAAACACTTTACTTATTCCATCCTGCTCTTCATATGAGATAAGGCTCAGGTCTCCTAAAGCCTCCTGTCAATCATGCAAGAAGCCAGATGTTATTGCCCTGAAATATTTGTCCCTGACCCACATAGGTGGCACAACTGTGATAGCGCCAAGCTAGCAGTGACCCAGAGCCGTGCTGCTTTGGGGTAAGTCCCTTCCACATCACTGATTCAGCAACGAGCTGAGATCAATGACTTCTTGGGCAGCTGCTCTTTGTGAGCCGTATATAAGAGTGAGTTAAAAGGGGCCAAGAAAATAGCACTTGTCAGTTGGTAGAAAAATGCCAACCAAATATCTGTGTCTCCCCTTTCCAATCATGTGTTCCTAAAGTAGGGAGGGAAGGGACATTGCTGCAGGGACTAATGAGGGGCTGTGTCTCCGTCTTCACATTTGGGTGTTACAGTCTTGTGTCTCGCCCAGAATAGAAAGGCTGCAAGCTTTCCTTCTCCCTACCACTATGCACTGTGACACAGGGACACACACACACACACACACACACACACACACACACACACCGACAATCCAGTGTTTTGTTACGTGGAAAATCAAAACAAGCTGGAAAGCATTTGGATTGTTTCTTCTAAACCCACTTTACTTTTTGGCAGGGAACCCGTGCCGCACTGAGACGCGGAGGCAGCCCCTGCTCTCTTCACACTGTTCCCGAGGCACCTGGGATTTCTATCAAAAGGCTTTCCACTGCCTTTCTGCTGAAGGCTTGATGTATGGGGCTCCGCTTGAGACCAGATAGCAGGATGTTCAGAGGAGAAGCCATCTCTGTGTGTTGGCCCGAGGCCAGCACTGAGCAAATTAAAAAGACGGACGTGGGCCTCCTCCTCATATCATTTCATTGTAAAGCAGCGTACTTGTCACGTCCCGGGGGTCCTGTGTTGATGGAAATGGAGAGCTAGGGAAGTAGTGTGTTCTCTGGAAATTGGCTGCACACCTACATGCAGAGTGACTCTCAGGGACGGGATGCCCATGGAAGGCACCTGGGCCCAAGGATCCATGGGCAGTCAGTGACCTCAAGGTCCCAGCCCAAATCAGCTCCAGGGCATTAGTGTCCAAAGCTCCAGAACACACAGACACACACACACGGGGAGTTCCACGTCCTGTCAACCCCTGTAGTCCTCAGGTGGACACCCCTTCCCTTCTCTTGGCAATGGAAGCCTCAGTGACCACGTTGATATGAGGTTCTCTGTGTGGGGAAAGGGGGAGACATTTTATTAAGAACCAAGATACACACTTATTTTGTCTCCTGGCTTTTTGGCAGCCTGCTCTTGGTAACTGGAGAAATAATCATGATCTTAACAAACACAAACGATGTTAGACAACAGTTAAGGAAATCATGGGTGTGCTCATTTTCATCTAACAGAGTAACTTCACCATAGTTTGACCAAAGTTTTGAAGTATTTAAAGTGTGAGTGGATGGGCTGGGGTTATGGCTCAGTGGTGGAGCACTTGCCTAGCCTATATGAGGCCCTGGGTTCGATTCTCAGCACAGCATATAAATAAATAAAGGTTCATTGACAACTAAAAAAAATTTTTAAAAAAAAGTCTGAGTAGAGATAGTGCTAATTTGGGGAAGAAAGTCTACCAGATAGACTTACTAAGGAGCTGAGACAAGAGCATCAAAGCATTAAGATTAAGCATAGTAGGCAGGAATCCCATTTGATGGTTTTAACCCAGACATTCAAATAATAAATAAGATTGATGCTATTTTCCTCTCACTTAAGACAAATGGGTTTGATAGCTCTGGTGTGTGACATTGTCAGAAACCCAGGTCCTCTCTTACTGCTTTTACATTTTCATGTGTGGCACCCACCCCATGGTCCAAGATGGCTGCTGCAGCTCCTGCTATCTTATTTTCATTTATGATGCTAGAGGGGAAATGAAGAGCAGTTGCTCATATCACTTCCAGTCACATCTTATGGGCTAGGACTTACACATTAGCCACATCCAACTGCAGAGAAAATGTCTTTACTCTTCATTGCCAGGTACCTTGATAAGTGCGGGGGTTCCATTATGAAAGAAACAATGTGAAAATTAATACTGATAAAAACTATTAGTCTCTGACACAATAGGGAATTGAAAACTACTTCAAGTGCTTTTCAATGTCATTTATTTCATCATATGTTTTGCAAGGGATGAGATTAAAATTCATCGCTTTGTATAGCATTTAATGCTTTTCAAAACATTTTTACATCTAATATCTCATCTGGCCTTCATTGCGTTCTTGTGTGCTAAAGGGGAGTTCTATTCATTATCCCATTTGAGAGTTTGGAATGAAGATTTAGAGACATTGAGAGATTTCCTAGAGACTCTAATTCATTAGCAAGTTGCTCAGAGCCGCAGTCTTCCGACTTCATAGCCTTTCCCACTACTGTATGCTGCTCAGCATCCATTTTGGGATTGGGAATTGCAAGAATATGAAATCTAAGTCTTTATTGATTTATATCTTCCCTCACCTCATTGTGGAACTGCAATGACCTAGAAACTGCCAAGGTCGAGTTGACTCTCCACTCTGTCTCCAGTGCAGGGGCCTCTGTGAGGGTGAAATGCCCCAGAGATGAGCAGTATTGAGGAAGCCCTTGACCCCGGGGGAGGCGTGCAGACACCTCTGGCTGGATGTCTGCCCTCCTCAACCCCAGAACTACTCACGATGAAGGTGGAGAGGATGTGCTCCACTCCTCCGGGAAGCTCAGTATTAGACGTATGCAGACTCAGTAGCGCCTGTTAGTGAAGTTTAAGGGTGATCAATACAAGCCCTGCTCCACTTCTCCTTCCCCAGCTCCCTGAAATTTTATCAGCAGAATATTGCGCTAGTTCTTAGAGGGTTTCCTGGTGTTAAATGAGTTCCTTGGCACATTCGCTAGAGAGAGGAAATGCTTTAGGCTGCAGCAAGCTACCATCTTCAAAGATTTTTTTTTTTAATTCCTCCAGACACAACCTGTGGCTGAGACGAGAGTCCCTGTGATGAGGACGTGTGGGGGAGGGGAACCAGGGGGAGCAGGGTAATATAGAAGAAATGGGGCTATCAAAAGGAGGCAGATCCTTCAAAGATGGAGAGATGATGAAAAAAATATGTGCCAGGCAATCCTGAAAAACAGAAAAATGACAGTTTCCTATTTCTAAGATATAGAACAGGGGCAAGCTGAGGTAGCATGTGGACCACAATTCCTTCAGCCACGGCAAAGAACAGGAAAGAGAAGGGCTCTTCAGACTGGACC